AACGAACGCAACAATCTTGATAAGGAAGTTTCAATGAGGAAGTTATAATAACTCCCCCACAAATCCATTTTAAACACCTGGCGATAACTTCCCCTTAGTCTTTCCTATAAATTAAGACCTCATTTGCCATTCAAGGGGAGAGGATAAAAAAAGGAACAACAGAAAAGAGAAAGAAAAGACGGAGAGATTGAAAAGAAAGAGAGACTTAGAATTTGAAACAACAACGACAAGGTCCTCTGCATTTTTTTATTTTTGAAAGGGAGGAGCGCTCCAGACCATTGTCTGGAGACCCATGATCCCATCTTCTTTTTCTTCAATTTTGTAATATATTAGAAATAATAAAATTGATTGGCGATTTTGGCGATTTGGCGATTCTGCATTCCCCTGTTGTGGCCTCGGCCATGCAAGGTCAGGAGAATCAATCATCTAATCGAGGGGATCTCAATGCTAATGAGGAGGAAGGCCTAGATTGGATTAATGTTGCACGGCGTAGAAGGTATCGTAAACCCTTTTTCAAACCAGATGATCCAAGATCTTATTTTCATGCTCGTAAACAAAATGAGTTGATTAAGGAGAATGGGAAGAATAAACCAGCAGATTTTAAGGGTAAGGGATTCCAAAAATCTAATATTATCTCTGAGTCCTGGAAATTCAAATCTATTGGAACTTCCTCATGGAAAGATATTTGCACCATGGGTAGGGAGATAAATCAAGATTGTGCTTTTAGATTATTTTCCTCCATCGATTGATAGCAATGGTATCCGTTATGCTTCCATTCCAAGATCTGAAATTCTCCTTAATGTGGATAGATGGAACAACACATTAGTTGGTTACGTCCTTGGAGATAAACCTTTCTATAACCATCTCAAAGGATGTGTTGGTCGCCTATGGAAACTTTCTGGCTCACTTGATATTTATTCTAGAGAGAACGGTTTCTTTTTCTTTAAATTTGGTTCTTCGGAAGAATTTAACAAGGTCTTAAATGGTGGGCCTTGGTTGTTTGATGGAAGATTGATTATTCTGAAAAAATGGACTGAGAATATTGGCCTAGAACGAGAGCTTCTTAACTCAGTCCTTGTTTGGATTAGATTTCCATACCTGCACCTGAAACTTTGGTCTAAAAATATTATTGGACGTATTGCTAGTCTTGTGGGAATTCCTCTTTATATTGATCAAGCTACGGCAACTGGAGAGAGATTGGCATATGCTAGATGTTTTGTGGAGATCTCATCTAAAATGAAGCTTCCAAATTCTGTAAGGTTGGATTTAGGAAATGGAGAATGGCTAGAAACAAATGTGGAGTATGAATGGGTTCCTCATTCTGTAAGGTTGGATTTAGGAAATGGAGAATGGCTAGAAACAAATGTGGAGTATGAATGGGTTCCTCTTAAATGTAGCAAATGTTTAAACTTTGGACATGTTGATTATCAGTGTTCAGTGGCACTTGTTGAGAAATGGGTTCCAAAAGAGACTATAAATGAGGCTGAAAGAAGAAAGGAGGATGAATTTCATAACACAGTATCTTCCAAGACAAATTTAATTGACACTCAGCAAAATGGGAAACCAGTTCTTGGTCATACTAATTCAGGAAACTTAATAATATCTTTAATTGACACTCAGCAAAATGGGAAACCAGTTCTTGGTCATACTAATTCAGGAAACTTAATAATATCAGCTACAGGTTCTGATAACCCAAAAACAGTTATTGATATTGATAATCCCCCTGAAGTTATTGAATGTTGTTCTGTTGATAATAATACATCTCATATAGTTCAGACTGATCAAAACTCTGGTGCTGCTGCAAAAGAGGATGCTAATTATGAAGATGGCCTGTCAAGGAAAGATAATATTAATGCTGAGGATGTTTTAATTGAAGATAATGTTTCAAATTTAAATAAGGATGTTAATGGAAAAGAGGAGTTACCAAATGTTGAGGATGTTAGTTCTGAAGAGTTGATTCATGAAGAAGCCAGTAAACTTGATAATCAGTCTGGAGCTGCAGTCTTATTTGAGGAATCACAAATGAATGATGGGAGAAATGCTAATAACAATCATATAGATACAGGTATACAACAAGGTCAATCCAAAAACAAAACAGAGATGAATGTATCTGTCAAATCTGCTGAGGAAAATGAGAACGAGACAGGTATTGACTTTCCTATTGCTTTTGATAATCTTGAATGGATAAATGGGAAGAATCAGATGTTGATGAAGAAGAAAAATAACCAATTGAAATTAAGTAGAGACTCTTCTTTAGGCCCTAAGAGAGTTACAAGGGCATCATCATATTCTACCTCATGACCATGTTATTTTGGAATGTTAGGGGCATGAACAATTTGAGTAGGAGAAAGGTTATTAAGCGTCATATTAATTCTTTGAATCCTAGTATTGTTGGATTGCTAGAGACCAAAGTAAAATCAACAAAGTATTACAGAGTTTCTAAATGTATCCCTCCTCATTGGTCATACTGCAACAACTATACAGCTTCTAGTAGGGGTAGAATTTGGGTTGCTTGGGATGCAGAGGTCTGGAATGGTACAATTTTATCGGTCACCCTACAACAAATAACTATAATGCTTCAGAATAAGGCTGGTTTCAATCTTGTTTTGAGTGTTATTTATGGTGAAAATTTAGAAAGAACAAGATCTACTTTATGGGCTGATATTACTGATATTTACGCTCAAACTAACAACATGCCATGGCTATTAGTGGGGGACTTCAATGTTTGTAGATACACATCAGAGAAAATTGGAGGAAGGAAACTAACTGCCAAGAAACTTCAAGAGTTTAATGATTGTATTCAGAAATGTGGTCTGTCTGATATCAAAAGTTCAGGTTCATCTTGGACTTGGCATAATAAGCAACAAGGAAGATACAGAATATATGGCAAGTTGGATAGGGCTCTGAGTAACTCATATTTGATAGATAAGTTCCCTCAAGTGTTTATAGAATATAAATGTACCTCTACTAGTGACCATACACCTGCTATTGTCCATCTTATGCCAAGCACTCTGTCAGGGCCAAAGCCATTCCGATTCTTTAACTTCTGGACTCAATGTGAAGGTTATAAAAAGGTGATCAACAGTGTCTGGAACACTTCAAAGGCAGGTTCTCCAATGTTTAAGTTGGTTTCTAAACTTAAGGACTTAAAAGTGTCTCTAAAAAGTTGGTCAAAACAGCTAGACAATTCAACAAACAATAATATTATTAAGTTGTCAAAGCAATTGGAGCACATCCAGAATGAGCTAAATAAAGACATGGATAATGAGGATTTGCAGTCTACTGAATCAGCTTTATGTTTTGAGCTTGATGGATGGCTAAGTAAGGAAGAAGATGAGATGAGGCAAAAGAGTAGACAGTCATGGCTTCAAAAAGGGGATAGAAACACCCAGTTCTTCTATGAAGCTATCAAACAAAGGATATCTACGAATAGTATTCGACATCTGATTGACAAGAATGGTTCACCTATCTCTTCTTTTGACAAAATTAAGCTAATTGCTCCAAAATTTTTTGAAGGGTTATTCAATCAAACCACTTATTGGAATGTTTTCCCTAAACTGACAGTTAAAAGAATTCTAACTGATGAAGCTAAACAATGGTTATGCAAGGATTTTAGTTACAAGGAGATAAAGGATGCACTGTTCCAAATGGATCCAGATAAGGCTCTAGGTCCTGATGGATTTCATGCTTATTTTTATCAACAGAATTGGAGTTTAATCAAGAATGAAGTGGTTTTAGCTGTGAAGTCTTTTTTCTCATCAGGTAAACTTCTTAAACAGATTAATCATACAGTCCTCACCCTAGTGCCGAAATCTCAAGAAGCTTCTTCCTTAAGTGATTATAGACCAATATCTTGTTGCAATGTCATATACAAGATTATATCTAAAATATTGAGTAACAGACTTAAATTGGTGGTAGGTGAATTGATATCAAATAATCAACATGCTTTTCTTCAAGGAAGACATATAGGGGAATGTTCTCTATTGGCTCATGAATTGCTAAGGGATTTCTCTAAGAACCATGGGAAAAGAGCTTGCTTTAAAATTGATTTGCATAAAGCTTTTGATAGCATAAACAGAGAATTTGTTTACTATATTATGCACTGTATGGGTTTTCCAGTCAAATGGATCAATTGGATCAAGGAGTGCATTTCAACAGCTTCTTTCTCAGTCCTATTAAATGGCTCCCCTAATGGATTTTTTCAGAGTAATAGGGGTATTAGACAAGGAGACCCTCTTTCTCCTTATATTTTTGTATTGGTGATGGAATTCTGGTCTATTGGGATGGAGTTGGCTACAATTTCAGGAAACATTCAAAATTTTAAGAAGAACAAGAATATGCAAGTCTCTCATATTTTGTTTGCTGATGATATGCTGGTATTCTGTAGAGCAAATAGGAAATCTTTTGAAGGTATAAATACTATGTTAGACTCTCTGGCTCTTCATACTGGTTTGAGTATCAATCGAAGCAAAAGCAGGATATTTTACAGCAGAGGTTGTATCAATACAAATGAACTTAGCTCTATAGTGGGAATATCTGGAGGAACTTTGCCTATGAAATACTTGGGTTTACCCCTATCAATAAATTACCCTAAAGCTAAGGATTTTATCTCCCTAATTGATAAAGTTAGGAATAAGATTGAAGGATGGATGACTCACTCATTATCATTTGCTGGGAGGCTTGAGCTGATTAAAGCAGTCCTGTATAGTACAATATCTTACTGGTACTCTGCTTATAATTTTCCTAAATCTGTAATTCAAAGTTTAGAAGCTATATTTGCAAACTTTCTTTGGAAAGGCAGGATGCACGCTATTAACTGGAAAAGAGTTTGTAGACCAAAACAGGAAGGAGGTTTTGGCCTTAGAAATTTAAATGACCTATGTTAGGCTGCAGGTTTAAAGTTGATTTGGAGACTCCTAACTGTAAATTCTCTGTGGACTAACTGGATGAATAAAAGATATGTCAAGGGTATTAATTTCTGGGACTCTACTTCTAACTTAATGGATTCTGGCACATGGAAGCATATTTCAGGTCTCAAAATCAAAGCTTTGAATTGTATAAGAAAGGCTATTGGTAATGGTGAGTCTACTTCACTCTGGTTTGATCCATGGCTTCATGAAGGCAGAATTATTGAGTTAGTTCAGCATCTTTCACCTCAACTCACTGGCACAGAGAATTGGACAGTTTCAAGCATCATTCAAAATTCTCAATGGAATATAACGTTGCCTTGTCTTATGCCTCTGGTGAATGCAATATCTGAAATCCAAATTTCTGGGAAAAAAGATCAATGGTTTTGGCTTCCTGCTGTTAGTGGTACTTTCTCCTTTGCGTCAGCATGGGATCAAGTTAGGACTCCCTTCGCTTTGTTTGAGCTTTACAATGTGGTTTGGTTCCCTTCATCAGTTCCTAAAATGGCCTGCTGCTTGATGAAAGGTCTATATAATAGACTGGCTTCTAGAGACAGGCTTTCAAAATTTGGGATTTCTTCACTTGAAGAATGTGTTCTTTGTACTGGTGAAAAGGAAACTAGAGACCATCTTTTCTTTCAATGCCCATATACAGGTTTTATTTGGAAACTTTGTAAATTAAAATTGCAGTTGGATTCTACAGATATTCAAGACCTTAGAACTGAAGCGACGCATATTCAACAGAAATTCAAGGAGAAGGTTAGAACTTACAAACTAGCTAGGCTCGTTTTGAGTGCAACCGTGTGGCATATCTGGCAAGAAAGAAATCGTCGAATTTTTCACAATCAACGGTTACATAAGATCTTGGTCTTTAGGAGGATTTATGAGGATATTAATGTTCTTCTTAGAACCTGTAACTGGAAGGCTAGAAATGAGATTATTCTAGCAAATTGGAGTTTGGCTCAGCTAAGTTGAGTAGACATATCTCTCTCTTAGTGCTTTAGAGTTATGTTTGAGTAGGGCAGTACTATCGTTCCTTTTTTATGGGTTTTGGTCTTACTGTTATCTTCTTAATTTCTCTAGTTGAGGGTGACGGCTAGGGTCCTCTCCCCTTTCTGGAGTCTATTAAGTTGGTTTACAGTGTTACCTAACCAAATGTTGTAAATATGTACATTTTAAAGTCTGAGTTATGTAAGAGTGAAGTAAGTTTGTGAGATATAAGTCTTCTGTAAAAAGTGTGTTACCTTGTAATCTATCTTGGATAATAAAAATTATATTTTGAGAATCGACCAGCGTACTCTATAAGTTTTCTGCCTCTGTTTGTTTTTTTATCTGCCTCTTTCTGTTTGTTGTTTCTGCCTAATTTTGGTATCAGAGCCATGTTCAACTATTTCATGTATGCTTAAGTTTGCTCTTAAAGATTATCTTTTTGATTGTTTACTTGTAAGAATGTAGAATTTCTATATGTTCTTTTAATTCTCTGTTGAAGAACTTAGTTTGCATGCTTATGGTACGTCATCTAAGTCGCGCAGTGTAAAGCCTATTATTGCCAGGATAGCTGTTTAGGGTAGTGTAAGTCATTGACAGACGTGTAAGCTTTCTGCTAGGTTGTTTCATAGAGAAAAAAAAAGAAAAATAAAAATTCTTCATCCTTACTGGTTAAATAATCAGAAGATAAATCTGTAAGAAAAAATTATGTCAAACATCATAGAAAGCAGTACGGCTCGTAAATCCATTTATACTAGAATGAAAAAAGTTAAAAATTCTTAGTTAACTGAATATGAAATTGACATAGAATCACTTAATAAGTAGACAATACCCGATGTCCCTAATAGAGACATCTATAAAATTGGCTTTTTAGACTATAAGTCTTTAATTAATATTAAGACCCTAGAAAGGACTACTACAGTCGATAGAGAAGAACAGACTATTCAACTGTTAGGAGTAGCAGATGTGAATCCATATTTGGATAAGTACAAATACATACATGTTGGGTTAATACAAATTGTTTTTAAACCATTAACTCTATCTGGTTTGAATGCATCTTTATTAGTCTGTTTAAGAGACTCAAGATGTTTAAATTGGACCCAATCTTTAATGGGTATAATGAAAACTAGTCTGTGTAACGGACCGATATATTTCAATGTTTATCCAAATTTAAGTCTATCTTTGACTAACCCAAATATTCTATATGCAATAAGTCTTAATATAAAGACTCATGGGTATAATTACATACCTGGATCCGAAACTATTGCTATAATTTATAGGATCCATTATAAAGTATTAAATACCTTAGCTCCTAAAACTAAAATTCATTCTAAACCAAGTAAAACTATACTAGTTGAAACAAATATTTTATCTTCAAACATTGTTTTTAATAGACAGATAACGTAAGATGAAATAAACTTCCGAGATAATTAGGTTATACCCAACGTTGTACAATAATTATCTATTGTTAATCAAGATATTGATCAAATTATACAAACAATAGATGAAGAAGTCGAAATAACTTTTAATCCATCTAGATCTAATAGAATACCTGATGTAGCAACATCTACTAGAAATTCTTTATATTGATCTGGATCTTATAGAACCAGTTCTGTTCAAGGAATTAATATTTCCGATAATAATATTCCTCATTCTTTATATAAGGATAAACTTTCTCCTCCTAATACGAAGATGATCTTTTATATAAAATGATAAATTTTGAAAAAGGAAGCTTAGAAAGGGAAATTCTAAATAAATAATTTTACCTAGAAAAACATAAACCTTTTAGAAAATAGTTTTTTTTAAATATTTCTTAAAAAAACCAGCTAAACTGGGTAGATAAATATTATACTGAATTAAAATTAAAACAAGATATTAAGTTCTTTGTTCCATGGTTTTTAAAAAATTATATTCAAAGTTAAGAAACTCAAATAGGAGTTTTAGAAGAACATTTAAAACAATTGAAAACCACTACAGGAAAAATTATTAGATCGGTAAATCCACCAATAGATCCTATTTATCTTAAAGATATACATCCCTCTACTATAGAGGCTACGACTTTTATAAAGCCAAATGAGTTTAATGAAGATCATATGAGAGAATTAATTAAAATTATTAAACAAAATAATTATGCTAATATTCATCTAAAAACAATAGGAGATCAACTTATTAGAGTTGAAGATGCCTTAGATAATTTGTTAAATAAAATTAATGAGGTAATACCTTCTTTAAGACTTTTGGAGAAACATAAGTCTCCTATGAAAAGATTAGAACAAACTAATATTAAACCACCGATAGATATATCAGGGTTTAAAAAAGATAGTGAAATAACACATGAAATCATAGATATTCTAGCTAAGAAATTAACTAATGATAGAATTCATACACTTAATACAGTGTTACCATCAACTTCTACCGTCATATCTGAAGAAGAAAATTCGTCTGATACAGACAGCTCTGGAGATATACCTCCAACAGAATTATTAACTATAGAGAATAACTTTACAGAATTAAATAAAATTAAAAACTATCCTAGAAAAAGACTAGAAAGATACTATTATAAAAGACCTACTTCAGCAGATGTTTTATTTGAAGAAAATGGTGCCTATCTACAGGCAGATTACAATGGTAGAAATATCTACGAATGGAATATAGATGGGTTATCAGATACTCAAATTAATTCTACTATACATAGAATGCTAATGTATGGTACAATTTATAAACAAAATGGTAATACCGAAAAAATGATAGCTTCTTTTATCACTTGTGGTTTTACTGGCATCCTTAAAGGATGGTGGGATAATTATCTATCTATTGAAGCTCGAAATGAAATTCTAGGAGCTACTAAAATAGAAAATGGAGTTCTCTAAGAAGATGCTTGTTTTCGTTGAAAACTACTGTATTCATTGCGGTATTCATTACAACTTCAGTCGTTACAATGAAAACAAAAAAAGATCGGTCTTTTTATAAGACCTTTACACAATGGAAATAAAAGATATAATTCTCTTGAAAATAAACACAAGATCCGTTTATCGTCTCCTACTTGTGTAGGTGTCTTCGCCTGTGCCGGGGTTTATCCGTGGACCACCGTTGATCTGGATCCGGTTGATAGAAAATTAGGCAGAACTTCGCCTTCACCAAGGGAGTGTTTGATTTGAAGCACTGAGATCGACCAAGCAAAATCAGTAGCTCTTCTCGAGATCAAGACCAAGCCTGATCTCAAGGAAATAGGGGAAACGGGTGTCGGATCTCTCGAACTCTCCTTCTTTATGCCGAAGAACTCGCCAAGATCTGTCAACCCTCGTTGAAATTCTTGCTCCTTTGACTCCTCAATCTGACAGCACCTCCTCCTCTTGATAATTAATCCCCCCACTGAAATAAGCCTCTAGGCCTGTATTTATAGGCTTCGGTTGGGGAGTTTTCGGATAAGAACAGATGATTCCTCCTTATCTTTAGTTAATAACTGATTAACCATGCTTGGGGATGATATCAAATCAGTTAGGATGCTCAAGAACCAACAAATCCCGAGAAAAACCATCAAAAACAGCCAAAACGCGTTTCGGGTTTCGAACTGCACAGCACGGGTCAGACAGATCCGACCCGCGCAACATCCGACCCGCGCTTGCGCGGGTCAGATTCATCCGACCCGTGCTTGCGTGGGTCAGACAGATCTGACCCGCGCTTGCGTGGGTCGGTCTGTTCCGTCCTGCGCTGGCACGGGTCCGTCACTTCTGCCGAACTTGTACGTTTCTTGACTTTTACGGGACTTGTAGTTTCTCCGGTTTTGCGTAATTGATCATCTTGTTGACTTGCACGATTTTCTAACTTGCTTCATACGCTCATTAGCTTCTTTACGGCACTTGGAGTTGATTAACGCACGCGAGCCACTTGACGCGCACGTGTTAATTGACGCACGCGAGCTGATTGACGTGTACGTGTTGATTGACGCACGCGGACCACTTGGTTCGTCGTTTCACTTCATGCGCTTATCGACGACAGATAATCGTCTTAGACTCAGATAACGACGTTCGTTGTCTTCTCTCCGTCTCGGTTGTATTTGGGGACCTATAGGTAATTTTTGACGCCTACGGATACCCCCTCCAAAGAATTTCAGACTCGTTCTTTTATAGGGTAGTCTGGAATTCTTTTGATAGGATAGGCCCTTTCCTCAATCTCGTAGAGTGTCCTGTGAACTGCTTCAATTCTTGACTCCTTCAGCCTTTAGTCTATTCAGTGTTTTGTCGAATAGATGAAGTTCTTCTGGTGCTGCGTTTATCGTCAGACTATTGTCGAAATCTTGAATTAAAGTTGATGTGTAAGTTTCTGAACTTAGCTTGTGCCATTGAGTTGACTTTGAACTGATCATCTTCGTCAGAAATTCATATCTGAATGCGATTGAACTCCCTGAAATCATCGTTTGCCTTATTTTGACGAGATTGCTGATGCGTTGATCGGCATCGATCTTTACTGTAACACGTTGACCGGCGTTAACACAGTTTATACTCGTACGTTTGCTGGAGTCTACACAGTTTAAGCTCTTAAGGCATTGGAGCGTGGCGGTCTTAAATCTGGGGTTGCAGGACCAACTATTAAAGTTGTTTCGTCTGCGGATATGGATCTTATCTCGAAGTTGTTGGATGCTCGAGTCATGAGACCAACTAATGAAGCTGATGCGTCGATGACTTACATTTATAGAATTTTTGGCAAATTCTCAGCCATCAACGGGTTTGATGAGCCTTTACTGACTACCGTTTGAGTCGGGCTAGCATGCG